ACAAAATATGTTATTTCTATTGAATTGTACTTTTGTAGATTGGCGAAACCTAATTTAAATAAAAATTTCAACTAGTTGATATATTGTTAACAATCCTACACTGCATTTAAGTGACACAAATACGCAGTCAGTAAACGAATATTTAAAACGTACCTGAAGGCTAATTTATTAAAGCACAATTGAGTTAGTTCTGTGGCAGTCATGACTCATTTAATAAATGTAATATTATGTAATATTTACATTATAAATATATTGTTTATTACAGATGTACTGGATTTACCTCCTGTTCGTAAGTATTATTATTTTGAAAACAACCATTTACCCTCAAAATAGATACTCGAAGATGTTATTAGTGGTACATGATGTTATATGAGTAGAATGTGTAGGCTACTATTGTATACATAATTGTATACAATTATATATTATGAACCTCTGTCAACCCTTGGCGGTGAAATATCACTTTCTGTTTACATTGCTATTTCAGTAACAAGGCCTGTTTCCATCCCCTCTACACATTCCCACTATACCCATTTAAGGAAGCTGCTATTTGTCTGTATCCATCCATCCATCCATCCATCCATCCATCCATCCATCCATCCATCCATCCATCCATCCATCCATCCATCCATCCATCCATCCATCCATCCATCCATCCATCCATCCATCCATCCATCCATCCATCCATCCATCCATCCATCCATCCATCCATCCATCCATCCATCCATCCATCCATCCATCCATCCATCCATCCATCCATCCATCCATCCATCCATCCATCCATCCATCCATCCATCCATCCATCCATCCATCCATCCATCCATCCATCCATCCATCCATCCATCCATCCATCCATCCATCCATCCATCCATCCATCCATCCATCCATCCATCCATCCATCCATCCATCCATCCATCCATCCATCCATCCATCCATCCATCCATCCATCCATCCATCCATCCATCCATCCATCCATCCATCCATCCATCCATCCATCCATCCATCCATCCATCCATCCATCCATCCATCCATCCATCCATCCATCCATCCATCCATCCATCCATCCATCCATCCATCCATCCATCCATCCATCCATCCATCCATCCATCCATCCATCCATCCATCCATCCATCCATCCATCCATCCATCCATCCATCCATCCATCCATCCATCCATCCATCCATCCATCCATCCATCCATCCATCCATCCATCCATCCATCCATCCATCCATCCATCCATCCATCCATCCATCCATCCATCCATCCATCCATCCATCCATCCATCCATCCATCCATCCATCCATCCATCCATCCATCCATCCATCCATCCATCCATCCATCCATCCATCCATCCATCCATCCATCCATCCATCCATCCATCCATCCATCCATCCATCCATCCATCCATCCATCCATCCATCCATCCATCCATCCATCCATCCATCCATCCATCCATCCATCCATCCATCCATCCATCCATCCATCCATCCATCCATCCATCCATCCATCCATCCATCCATCCATCCATCCATCCATCCATCCATCCATCCATCCATCCATCCATCAATACATTTCGCTTTACCAGAACCTGTTTCAGTTTCGAAAGGGGAAGGGGGAGGGATTGGGCGGAGGGTCGAGTCGACCTGGACGGAACTTTTTTAGGGGCGTAATTTACCTATATTAAAACTTTAAAAATGAAAAGGAAAAAGGGTAGAAAAATGATACGAAAGAAAAAAGAGAAAAAAATAAATGAGAAGAGAAAAAGAATCAAAATAGAAAATCTTTTATAACTTATAAGGTGTCAACCATTGATGCCGTCGACAAAAAAAATTGAATTTTAGATTTCCCCTCCCCCCCCCCCTCAGCCTGTCCACGTTCACAAACATTTAGAAGCCCTCTCATAATCATGCTGTAAAATTCATTAACATGTTATGTGTACCTTTCTAAATTATTAATTAATTTCTTATGCCGGCGATATGGTTACCTTTCTGACACATTTCTTCACCCTTTGTGCTAAGGCTATTTCCAATGCAAATGCAGTGACATTTTATGACTGTTTTTTATGACTATAAAAAAAATCAAAAGAATGTATGGAACTCGCTGGATAAAAATCATACTGTTGAAAAACTGTGGCTTTACATTTAGATGTAATTGATTGATTTAGATTAATTTATATCATATCATATCTATATTTATGGAGCCCCAAATTTCAAGAAATCGACAACGCGCATTAGCATCTACATACAAAAGGTTTAGAATTGGATTGCTGCGCAGCAAAAAATGAAGTGTCTATTTAAATATTTTTAGCAAGAAAAAAAAATATAGTGGAAAAGGCCCAGACAACAGCGTAGACGAAAAAAAAAAGTCGAAAAAGATCGTCGCGTTCCGCTTGGAGAATTTAAAAAAAGAAAACTGAATATTAGTTCTTGACGATTTGAAGAAAGTAGTTTCTTTCAGCTGTTTTTTTGTAATATTGGGAACTATTCATTTTATTTAAATTGATATCCGAAAAAAAAACGCCATCTTCCTTCGATTGGTTCTAGGGGGGGGGGGGGGCTTCTGTTCCCCATGCGTACCACATTGATGGTCTCGTATTGAAACGGTGATATCACAACTTTTGAGTATATTGTTAACTCAAAATGATAAAATGTGGGTTTATTAATAATGCTAACATTATATTTAAATTATTGAAGTGGATTTTCATTAGATAACATCTATTTTAGGAATCGGAAAGCTGCTTAAACCGTAGTACTTTAAATAGTATGTAAAATAATTTTCTTGAAATTTGAAGAAAATATATGCTAAAAGTTGTATATCCCATTTTTATATAGCTTCGACACTGCGTTGGTATAAAGATTACTTTAAAGGTAAGATGTAAAATTTGAAGGTAAGAACCATTTAATTAATTACACTTAACATCATACTAAAAGCTTGTTATAGTGAACCTTTTTAATATCTGCTAGATCTATTTTATAAACCATACATTAATAACAACACATACATTAATACTTCGACAGTTAAATTATTTTATAACCCTTAACAACACATACATACATAGCCTCCCGGGGCGCCACCCTTGCGAAATTTTAAAAAAATATTGTTTTACAGAAACCTCACCTGGAGTGTTCTAATCAACTCCCAAAAGTTTGATGGCGATCAGATGAACGGCCTTAAACTGTAATCGACTTTTATTTTTATATACCGTATATAGAGAAAAATCGCACCCACCCGTGGCGCCGCCCTTGCTAAATTAAAAAAAAAAGATTTTTTTTTTTTGCAGAACCATTTCCTGCAGTGTTATAATCAATCCACAAAGTTTCATGGCGATCGGAAGAACGGTGTAAAACCGCAATCGCCTATAATTTTTGCACAGAAATTTCCCCTGGAGTGTTCTCATCAGCTCCCCAGTTTTATGGCATTCGGACGAATGGTGTCGAGCCACATCCGACTTTTTTTTTATATTCCGTAAATAGAGAAACATCGCATACTCCCGGGGAGCCGTCCTTCGCGAAATTAAAAGAGATTTTTTGCAGAACCCATACCTGGATTGCTCTAATCAAATCCACAGAGTTTCATGCGATCAGATGAACGGTGTCTAACCGCAATCGACTTTTATTTCAGATATACCGTATACAAAGAAAGAAAATCGCGCCTTACCGGGGCAACACGCCTGCGAATTTGAAATTTTCGTTAAACAGAAACTTCCCACGGGGTATTCTCAACAACTTCTAATAGTTTCATTGCGACGGATGAAAGGTGTAGTAATGCATAAAAGACAAACAAACAGACATATACACATATATATATGTATATATATATATATATATATATATATATATATATATATATATATATATATATATATATATATATATATATATATATATATATGCAATTTTAGAAAATAGTTAGATTACTTACATAAATACATGCCTTAATGCCACATATAAACCTATTTATATCTTCACTTGCCTTTAAAACTTTTTTTTATTGGTAAATTACAACATAAGCTATGCCCTTTGAGTAATCGTCGCGAATAAATAAATAAATCACACAAAAAATATATGGTCACAGAAAAAATTATCCCAGACAAAATATTTCACGGACAAATAATCTCAATGACAAGTAGGCTATATCAAGACGAAAGACCTCAGGAAATATATCGCAGACAAAATGTCTTCTGAAAAATATGAAAATATTTGTAATGATTTTAGACGATTTTAACATGTTTACATTAATAGTCATATGGTTTTGATTTACTTCATTTAAACATTCGTAGACAGGCCCTTGACGGAGACAGGCCCTTAGGGAGAAAACATCCGCTCTCCGTATACAATACAATAATCGTCTAAAATCAATAGTAATTGTAATATATCGGTAATACCTTGGTGATTGACGTAGGCCCAGTTGCAGAACGCTAGATTGTAACCCTAAAGTCTCGAGTTCGTATCCGGGTTCATGTTAGTAGAATTTCCCTAAGTACACTTAACTGATGGTTAGTTAACTTACGTTAGGTAAAGTAAAGACAGCTCGGCATTGTGCTACATTGACGGAAACAGGTAAACTGTACATCAACTCCGATAAACTTTATTTTAGTGATAGGCTAAAAAAAAAAGGTTATTTAAACTACAGTGGTCATTGCGGAGCAAAGTTATTCTTAGTGTGCATACAAACTAAGCAGAACTAGTAATGATTTCCAGTTATGGCCCGTTGTTTTACATCGTAGAAAGACCTCTGCACTTTTAAGAAGTCAAATGTACACTAACCTACAGCTAGAAAAGAAACGTTAGAGTTACAATTGTGTCGATTATGCAATAAAAACATTGGTTTTATGTTACGAACTTGAAGAACAATTACTTTTTTAAAAACATATAGAGATATTTTGTCTGTGATCATGTGTCCGTGATATTATTTGTCATGGCATATTTTGCACTGAGATCTTGGTCAGTGAGCTCCTTATCTGTTTATATTTATTTTTCTTTCTTAAAGAGCAACACGAAGTTATGGAGTGTCAACCAGGAGAGGATGAAGGCAGTCTGGCAACATACTTGACAACATGTAAAAAAAACCCAAACCACACTGGGTTTATTCCATTAACAGATTTCAGCTTTGAACATATCACTATCACAAACAGCATTGACGAACTGTATAACATGATCAAGTTTACAGCAGATCTAACAGTAAGGATAGCTGTCACCTATACTAGCCCAAAGAGAGCGCTATTTGTACCAGATACAAATGCTCCTTACCCTTGCTCGCATTTGAGAGGTAAAAGTTGCTTAAGAACTGGAACAGGTATAATTACCGGCATCTCTAAATATCAAGATGAAGAAGGTAACACATGTCAATGCAAGGGGTGTAAGAAATCAGACACTCCTCAAAGCACCTGGTGGAGTGTGGGTGTGATGACAGCCACCCACGTGGTGTTTGACGACAGCGAGGCTGAGAGTGCCACATGCAGGCTGTTCTTTGACCAGGCGGACAGTCCAGTTGTGACGTTAGATGGCTGGAGAATGTGGGACATGAGCATCAAGGGAGACACCTGCAGATTTTCTTGTGCCTCACATGACATGGAATTGTACGAGAAAGTCAAGAAAATGTACAACAGTTACCTGTATTGTCCACACAAGTTTGAAGAAGGCGTGTCTTTTATAGTGTCACATCCACACGGCTGCTCTAAGCAAGTCTCTATAGGAACATATGAGAAGCAACACATCCAGAAGCCCCAAGAGTGGTACAAATGTACCAAGTACACGTATGAGATGAGTACATGTCCAGGAAGTAGCGGGGCTTATGTTTTCTCTAGCGACACCTTGCTTGTACCTCATGTCCACAGTGGATGTAAGGATAAGATCAACTGCAGTGGGGAAGGCTATCAGCAAGTCTATAGTTAAAACAGTAATAACTATATCTAATCATTTTCTGTTTAAGAAAATAAAATAATACTGTTAATTTCACTGACGCAGAATATAAAAGAAATGTTGAGAATAAAATTTCAGTTGTGTACAAATACTGATAAACATAGCATTCATGTTTTTCCAATAATAAGCAAGTAATTTTTAATGTATTATATATCTATGATTCCATAAACTAAAATTAACAAAAAAGGCCGAAATTTTTTAAAAAGATATTAACGCAATATTGTGTTATTTTCTGATGTTTTTATTGGAGTAGTTTGTAAGTTATAATTTCATGTTTAATAAAGCGTGCTATATTTTTAAAAATATCAATAATTGCATAGGACTATCAAAAACGTCTATATAAATGTGGTTTCTGTTGATACTTTTATTTGTAGTGTAACATAGTTGCAGAACAATACCTAAGTAATCAGTTAAGTTTAAAACAATAACAGAACGATATATGTAAATTCATTACTAGCTTAAAAATTTTCGGGTGTCTCAACAATTAAAAATATTTGATTGTTTTTAAATTTACTCAGTGTGATAAAGTGCTACTACAGAAAATGGCTACCTACAATTATTGCTTATAGTATTATTGATCAATAATTACAGGCTGTTCATTATCTATTTTAAAAATAATTCGCTTAAATTTTCCTTATAGGATTGTTTCGGGCGTGAGAAATTGCGGATTCTTATATATAACTGTCATAAGCTCTACATAGATTACTTTTTTAGTTTTATTTCTTTCATTATTTTTATATCACTGAAAATAAATTTTTGTAATATTTTATTTTAATGCATTGAAAAAGTATGCTTATAGTAAAGTGTAATAATAGAAAATTGATTATATATTAATTCAATTAGTAAAGTCGCATGACAAAATCCATTTACCCATAATGAACGTGAATATTTGTAATTTTACATTTTCGCCATATAGATCTTGTTTGTTAAGATAATCTATGTTATGGTCATTTGACTATGCTAAGCAATAGCAATTGTATTTAGCTTAATTAAGAAAGACATAAAAATCTTATTACGCAGAGGATCTATACATTCCCCTTAATTTAGTATGTAGGCCTTAAGTTGCTTAAGTGATATTTACCAAGTAAACCACATACATATTTTATCATTACATGTGATGCAATCGTAAGCATTATGAACACGATTTTCCTGTATTATATTGTTTGCCTGATGGACCCCGTTATATAGGCTGCCGACAAAAGGGCTCCAGTGAATAAGGCTCCTGACATATAGGCTCCCGCCATTTAGTTTCTCAACAAAACAGCCCCTGTCATTACGACTCCCGACACACAGGCTCCTGTCATTTTGGTTCACGACAAATAGGCTTTTGTCAATTTGACTCTCGACAAAAGGACCACTGACAATACGGTTTCTGTAGAGAATAAGTCCCCGGCAAAACGGCCTCATTGAATATGACACCTGCCATCAATATTCTTTAGAGTTAGCTTATCCAACACTCTTTAGTAATACAACGTATGCATCTTTTGTTCGGCTGGCCTTATTTTTATAATAGTTTATCTACTATACGAAATAGTATGTTTTAATTTAAGGGTCATCTCTCTATGACTTCCATAATTGAGTCGGTTATAGGCTGTTCCAACTCAGTGTTTGGGGAAAAGGGTCCACGTTGTACCTTCCTACCTCCAGTATGCTTGTAGGTTATCAAAACAAAATGTTGTTATCATGTAAACATCATTTATATCATACATTTACTTTTCTTTGCTCGCTTTTAAGCAACAGATCTTTTCTGTTGTAAATTAAACATTATCACAATTTTAGAATTGGTGGAATTTCGCTGTTAAGGACTAGATTTGTTTGTGAATTAATGTTGGTTCATGAAAAACAATTTCATTCGGGCATTTAAAAAGAGTTTATAGTGGTAGTGGATATAGGACAAAATGGTTACTTTTATGCCAATAGTGGTAATACGATTCATTTGTCTTTAGTCAATATGTCGGGAGTCATTTTGTCGGAAGCCAATATATCGGGAGTCCATTTTTCGGGAGCCTAAATGTCGGGAGCCCATTTGTCGGGAGCCAATAAGTCGGGGCCCTTTCGACGGGGCGATTTGACGGGGTCAAATTAACGGGGCCGTTTTGACGGGGCCGTTTGTCCCGGGCCGTTTTGGAGGTGTACCAATTAAAGTGTAATACGGTGCGCAATAAAGTAAAAACGTAATACAGTGTGTCATAACATTAAGTGTAATACGGTGTCCTATGGAATTAATATTGTAATACACGGTGTATCATAGAATTAATATTGTGTTACACGACATACTATAGAATTAGCCTAGTGTACACGGCATATCATTGAATTATTCGTGTGTAGTTTCATGAAATGTGTACCAATGTTTCCTCTTACTTGTTACTGAGATATAATTGTCTCATTTCAATAAAAGATTTACTGACATACAATCGAATTTGTTTATTTAGTACATTCTATGTGTGTCCTGTGACATTTTATTAAAATAAATCTAAACTGCGTTTGGAAAAAAACCTCCTTGATCAACACAAAAAAAATATAATGACCGCAGCGATGCAGAAGGGTAGCGACCCTTTTTGGCGCCCGGGGCGAAATGTACATTTTACGGCATAAAATAGTTATTTACAATGAAGAAAAAGCGCCTACCCACCCCCTCCCCATTCGGAAAGTTTGGGGCGCCTTTTACCAGTAACAATCCATTAAGAATGCTTTACCATAATGGCAAATAACTTATGTAAAACAGCTAAAAACAAAACAGTAGACTATTTTTGGAACTGTGTGTATTATTGAGTAAAGCATATAGTGAGCGTATTATTTATTTTTTACCCTCTAGGGTCGGTGCCCAACCTGCCCGTCTATAGCTAGGAAATTGCGCATAGAGGTGTATAGTGTCATGTGACATGTTATCTCATTGTTATCGTCTCTCCCAGTTATCACTAGCTCGTGCAGGACTTGTGATCTCGCGAGGTTTGTGACACCTTGCTATAAAGTCATGCTAGATTTGTGACACCGTGCTATAAAGTCAGGGCCTGGCAGCTTGGACTTTACTTTCTGTAGGGATATCTCACATATCAAGGTAATAGATGTGGAACTACACTTTGTATATATATATATATATATATATATATATATATATATATATATATATATATATATATATATATACATATACATATACATATACATATACATATATAGGCCTGTATATGGGAGAATGGTGAGATGGGGACAATGGAGAAGTAGGACAGTGCTTTATTTCGATAATTTCCGACCAAATTTTCAATGATCCCGCATAAAACATAAAACTACAAGTGAAACCTTAACAACGACATCCTTATCTCGCCAGCAATTCACTATTTTATGCTATATAGATAAGTGCCTAAAAAACACCTTTTTTATCTTTATAATCCTTTGGACAGCTTCAAACTTTCTTAGATAGTGAATGTCCTGTTGTAAGAGTAAATGTTGTGTTATTATACATAAATGGATCGAATAATTTTCGTATGTATTTTTGCTAATTACAACGAAGACTTTTTTAAAAAAATTATGGAGTCAGTTGTACCAGTTTCCACTTAGCTTGTCAGGGTTAAACTGACTTAGAGTAATGTTTCTTTGTCTGAAATGTAGCCTATTATTTCAATACAGACACTGCTACAATTTTATTAGTAATGCTTCCTTTTCGGTATTAACCATATTTAATTCCAGTGACGCATCGACAGAAAATCTTCAGAAATAATCTTTTCAATTCAGTACCCCGGATACAAAGTACCGCAAATTTTAATGGAAATATTATGATTTCGTCTTATTTAGTTTTGCGCTTCATCAAAATGTAAGCATCTTAGCAGTTTCGGCCCTAGAATAGGTAATAATTACTAGTACAAAACGAATGATACAACTTATTAAGTATGAATTAAAGTGTAAATTATCTTTACTAATACACAATTTTACATATTAATTAGTTGCCTCAACATTATAATGCACAATTTAAAAAAGTCTTTTTCTTAATGTACAAAAGTCATATTTTTTTGCTCCTACTTTATTTGCGGCCTTGACCAAAATATTATGTTATTTTATACTTCTCTAAAGTTATAAGATGTACCAAAAATCAATGAAAAAAAAGAAACTAATGTCGAAATGTAATATCGACTTCTCATGCAGAAAATTACAGACATCATCTTTTGAAATGTTAAATTGCGCGTACTCAGATTTTGATAACATAATAAAAAAATGCAATTTGGTAGCGGGAATTCAAGAGTTGCTATAATCGACAAAAGAGTAGCATTATAACGTTAGTTTTGCAATGTTAGTTTGTGTTCATCTTTATTTGTTCATATAAATAATATTTGCCTATGAAGATCATTATTAAATTACCACATGACCATTAGGAGTTGATTTGAGAATAACAGTGTATTGACCACCGACATTATTAATTAAATATACTAACTTTTATAAACTGTTAAGACTACCAACTTCTCAGCCTTTGTATTTTATAATGTTTATTATAGCCAATTCTGACTATCAGATTAAGTATGTTTTTTTTTTAAATTAATGTCAGAGAGAGTTAGGCTTTTTTGTAAAATTTCTATTCTCCAATGAAAATAAGATAGTAAGCACTGCAATATAGCAAACGAACGTTCTAAATAGTAACAATATGCCAAACTACTGTAAAATTGTATGGTGTTACCTTCTGTGTTATGGTTTATGGAATGAAGTAGATGTCTTAAAATACGCCCTATAAAATGTTATTCAAGTTAACCGTACATATAACTACAATCAGTTTTAATTAACACACAAGACACAGTCCTTTACAGACATTTTTTTTCTCAAAGGCCGGTGCAGGGCCTAGCCGGGACGGCTAGTGTATGATAAAACCACATGGTAGAATTAATGACGTAGGCAAACAGATAACATACTAATAAGCAACATACACAGATAACAAGTGTTCAATACAACTGTATCCGTGTCAGTTATCTGCTTACTTAATCTTGTATTGTTACCACTTAGGTATTTCATTTGTATATACTTCTATAACTATATCTATACCTATCTCTCTCTCTATCTCTCTCTCGCTGTATATATATATATATATATATATATATATATATATATATATATATATATATAGTATTTTTGCTTTGTTTAAACATGGTTATATTTTCAACGGTTAATTTTGGCAAAATCATCCTAACAGGTGTCTAGACTTGTACAAAATATCAATCCGATATGGAATCTTTAGAATCAGCAAAAGACAGGTCTCAAGAAGAACCATCTTCATCGGATAATGTCGTTACTTTTGCTTCGAGTAGTGTAAACATTTTTTTTTCTACAAAAATATCTCAAGCTTTAAGGTTACAGAAGGGCAAGACAAACATAGACGCCCGATCGTAACGCTGATGGTTTAACTATAATTCTAATACAAAATTATAATTTTAAAACTTCATTTTAATAAAGATTATAATCGGTTACTGTTTTTGTTTTTCTCATCTTTAGGATATTTACTCCAACCGTTGGCTAGGATCGCTATTCGTCTATTTGTTTGGTTGGTCAATAAAGGTAAGTTTTACTTTAGCTATCGAATATGCCTCTAGGAATCAAACGTTTAGTTGTCATATAATTATTGTTGGCAAACATATGCACATGTAGTATTAAAACTGTTCTGCACTATATTTACTCATATTTTCAAATTACAACAATAGAACATTTTTGAAATGTTGGATTATCCTTGGTAACATCTTTGTTTCGTATACACCTGCCTAAATATTATTGTAAATCTATTCCCTAAAGGGGAACAAATGTTTATCTATACGGCAAAAAACGAGAGTTAAGCGTTTTCTTCCTGTGACAAGCGCGCTGATTATGTGGCCAATCGCTCCATTCTGTGTATCTGTCCCACACCTGCGTTTTGTTTATCTGTCACACACCTGCGCGTTAGTTAGGTGAAATCGCCACAATTTAATCAAGTTTAATGTTGTCAGTAATGGAAAAAAATAAAGTGAATTTAGCAAGACGGCAGAGGTATGAGGAGAGGTTTAGGGTGTACACTAATGCGACATTAAATATAACTAAAAAGTAAAATTTTCAAAAGCTATTTCGTACATCTGTGCATAAGTTGTGTTTAAAAAAAAAAAAAAATAAATAAATAAATTGGAATTAATTATTTTTTCTAAAGTCACTAACTCTCATTACAGCTTCAAATAACTGGAATGTGGTCTCACTTAAATTTTTTCGTATATTCGTATATATAAAAATAACGGTGATGGCACTTTAAATGCAATCGTATAATATATGGGAAAATATAGGATATAGGAAAAATATGCATGAATACGTTTTTAAAAGAAGAATGTATGTAATAGTCAAATAGTGCAATAAAAAAGAGAAATGACTCACGCTTTTCTTTATAGTAATTTAAATAATAGTGTTAATAAATATTTAAAGAAACTCATTTATTTCCTACTTTTAAGTGCATTATTACATAAAAACTTTTTATAAAAACGTGTTTATTTATTTTCAGTATTGTAACATTTTTATACAATAGAGTTGCAAGAATAAAAACTATTGCGAACCGAATAAACATGAAAATATGTGTATAATAGTGAGGTAAATAGTAGGTTCCCCTTACTTTATTTAGGAATTTTTAATAAATTAATACAAAACTAATTGTGTATCCAATTAAGTCAAATTTGATATCATATTGCTGTGTCGTCTAGTCTTGATCGACGTTTGAAAATAATCATTCAATTAAAAGAGCTCGACACTTCGCAAAGCAGTTTCCGTCTATGATGACAGACAGACAGACAGACAGACAGACAGACAGACAGACAGACAGACAGACAGACAGACAGACAGACAGACAGACAGACAGACAGACAGACAGACAGACAGACAGACAGACAGACAGACAGACAGACAGACAGACAGACAGACAGACAGACAGACAGACAGACAGACAGACAGACAGACAGACAGACAGACAGACAGACAGACAGACAGACAGACAGACAGACAGACAGACAGACAGACAGACAGACAGACAGACAGACAGACAGACAGACAGACAGACAGACAGACAGACAGACAGACAGACAGACAGACAGACAGACAGACAGACAGACAGACAGACAGACAGACAGACAGACAGACAGACAGACAGACAGACAGACAGACAGACAGACAGACAGACAGACAGACAGACAGACAGACAGACAGACAGACAGACAGACAGACAGACAGACAGACAGACAGACAGACAGACAGACAGACAGACAGACAGACAGACAGACAGACAGACAGACAGACAGACAGACAGACAGACAGACAGACAGACAGACAGACAGACAGACAGACAGACAGACAGACAGACAGACAGACAGACAGACAGACAGACAGACAGACAGACAGACAGACAGACAGACAGACAGACAGACAGACAGACAGACAGACAGAATTTGCAGTTCTTCTGATAAGTGCTAGATCTATTTAAAAAAAGAATTGTTAACTATTTTATATTACTTACATTATTTTCAGTAATAGGAAAAAAAGAAACACGTAAGTAGAAACATTTATTTTCCACTAGTTTTCTTTACCTGGGAATGGTATCAATATGATTATATACTAAATTATTTTTTTCCCAGCACTAAGCAGCTTTTGTAAAATGTAAAATAAACCCTTGATAACTTCCCAAAGTTTCATGACGATCAGAAGAAAGATATTATAATATATATATACATATATATATATATATATATATATATATATATATATATATATATATATATATATATATATGTAACTAGGGTAGTTACCATACTATGGTTAACAACGTATTACAGTCTGATGCAATAGTGCAGATGTTGGTCTGATAACGATCAGAAAGCCAAGGCGTAGTTTGGGAAGCGATACGACAAAGCCGCTGCGCAGTTCACAGGCTGACGTAACAGTGCAGATGGTTTATTAATCGGATTGTATGACAGAAGCTGCGCAATTAATATTCTGATGCAACGATTAGAATACGAGTACGAATACGAGTACGAATACGAGTACGAATACGAGTACGAATACGATTACGAATACGAAGGGATATATAGGAAGGCGACAGCGGAGAACGTGGGATCAGTGTCAGTATGAGAGTATCAAAGGACGGTGGACAGTAGAGAACTCAGTTGGTTACTGAACGGGTTAGACGTATTGTGTTAATAGGGACGATAGACATGTGCATTCGGTTATGTGAAGACTAGTGAGGACGGTTGGGGGTCAGTCGAGTATCTATATTGTGGTCGATGTTGTGTAGAATGAGTAAATACACTCGTTAACATTTGGCACTACAAGCAAATAGACTCGTTACATTTGGCGTTGTCTAGCAGTGGGATAGACTCGGGAAGGTTACATTTGGCGTTGTCGAGCAGAAGATGCAACTAGACTCGGTTACATATATATATATATATATATATATATATATATATATATATATATATATATATATATATATATATATATATATATATATATACACTAGCGTACCGATCCACGCGCGTTGTCGCGGAAATAGAAAAAAAAAAACGTCCGACGAAATATATAAGAAGGGTTTTATCCATGCGTTACCGATTCTACATTGATAGACGCGTGAACTTGTTTTCTAATAGTGAGTTATTTAAACGTTAACAATGCCTGCACTTGGATCATAAATACACTACCGCATGAAAACCTAGAGTGTACATTAATAACTCACCGAAATAATGAGGTAGAACACACTACTGTGACCGCCCATGAGTCAGGGACGTAGAGTGGCGCTCTCAGGAGCCCCCCCCCCCCACACCGATTACACTACCGTGTACGGCCCCTGGCTCCTTAAAACTAACAGGCCCATCATGCCAAATAACATGCTGTTAACAATGATGCAGATTTCCAAAGTTTCTTGGCGATCGTGTGAACAGTGTCACTGCAATTCACTTTTACTATTTTTATATACAACATGTAGAGAAAAATCGAACCCTTCCGTGGCGCCGCCCTTGCAAAATTAAAAATGATTTTTTACAGAACCCTTTCAGGTAGTATTTTAATCAACTCCCCAAAGTCTAATGCCTATCGGATGAACGATGTCAAACCAAAATCGTCTTTTATTTTTATATAGGCTACCGTATATAGAGAAAAATTGCACCTTCCATGGCGCCGCTCGTGCGAAATTAAAAATGATTATTTTACAGAACCCTTCCATGGAGTGTTGTAATGAACTCTCCAAAGTTTGATGGCGATCGGAGGAAGGGTGAGAAACCTCAATCGATTTATATTTTATATACCGTATAAAGAGAAAAAACAAATCGCGCCCTATCGGGGCGCCACCCCTGCGAATTTGAATTTTTTTCGCAGAAACCTCCCCAGGAACATTCTCAACAACTTCCCAAAGTTTCATGGCGATGTGATGAGAGGTTTAGTAATGCATAAAAGACAAACAAACAAACAAATAAACAAACAAACAAACATACATACATTGCTTTATATATATACTAGCGTACCCGTCCCCCGCGCTTTGCCGCGGGGATAGAAGAAAGTTTGACGAAATATATTAGAAGGATTTCACCAACGCGTTACCAATCATATGTTCTTAGACGCGTGACCGTCTATTCTAAAAGTGAGTTATTTAAATGTAAACAATGCCTGCACTTGGATCATAAATATCGGGACACGGGTTTACCTACACTACCGCATGTTAACATTGAGTGTACATTAATCACTCACCGAAATAATGTTAGAACACACTTCGGTGACCACCCATATGTCAGAGACGTACAGTGGCGCTCTCAGGGCCCCCACGCCCCGATTACACTATCTCAATTTCTGACTGGATTGTCTAATAGTAGATGCTTATTGCATCATTCGCAAAGTGACGAAACTCTACAGTAGGCTCCTCATATTAAAAAAGTTATTATTTCATCTTTGGCAAGGTGACGAAACTGTACAGAGGTATTTCCTCGCGTTACAAAGTTATTTTTAGAAGACTGTTGTAGTTTTACCGCTGAATATAGTAGTACCCTTTACTCGCTATGCAGGACGCTCGATTAACTGATGCCAAGTGCCAACATAGTCGCTCTAAAACTCTGGGCGCCAAACAGACGAAAGTTGTACCCTATATGGCGCCGCCCATAAGAAACTTAGTTTTCTTTTTCGCAGAAATATTCTACTTCCTAAAGTTTCATGGCACTCGGATGAACCGCATCTGAGTTTTATTTTTTATATACCGGGTATAGAGAAAAAAATCGCTCACCCCCTGGGGGCTCTGCCCTTGCAATATTAAACAATATTTTTTCGCAGAACCCTACCATTGAGTGATCTAATCATCTCCCCAAAGTTTCATGGTACACGGATGAACGATGTCAAACCGAAATAGATTTTTATTTTTATAAACCGTATATAGAGAAAAATTGCAGCCTCCCGTGGCGCCGCCCTTGCGAAATTAAAAATTATTTTTTATAGAACCCTTCCCTAGAGTGGTATAATGAACTCCCCAAAGTCTCATGGTTATCGGATGAACGATGCCAAACCAAAATCGACTTTTATTTTTATATACCGTATATAGAAAAAAACAAATCGCGCCCTGTCGGGGCGCCACCCCTGCGAATTTGAAATATTTTTTTTCTCAGAAACCTCCCCAGGAATATTCTCAACAACTTCCCAGATTTTCACGGCGATGTGATGAGAGGTGTAGTAATGCATAAGGGACACACACACAAACATACATTGCTTTATATATATATATATATATATATATATATATATATATATATATATATATATATATATACATATATATATATATATATATATATATATATATATATATATATATATATATATATATATATATATATATATATATATATATATATATATATATATATATATATATATATATTGCAAAGCTAATTTTAACATTGCTATTTAATAGTCAAACATATTGTTTAGTACAAAAGATAAATGAATTTTTTAAAATATTTTTAATCAAAATAACACATGTGTTTTTGTGGTCGTGGTTTTTTCCAGCCCTAAAAATAATATAGAGGCTAATTGGCCTATGGTGATGTTATGTAGCGTAAATAAGGGTTTCATTATGTTAAAATGGGAGCATGACATTAGTTCCCTCCAGTTTTTTCATCATCTTATCCCGTTTGTACCCAAGGCACGTGGGACCGACGAAGTAGAGTTCATCTTTTTCAAGGACCTCAGCATACGAAGAGATTGTGCGTTCAACTTTATGCCCAGCCGTTTTTGCTTTCCATAACTCAAGTTATGTACCAATCGGAGCTGGGTGGATCAACGAACGTTCTACAGACTTGAACTCTGTCTATAACACCTCGTCCTTTCTCAACGCCTTTCACCCTATCTCAATTACACCTCGTCAATCACAGGTCCTCACATTGACTAAAAAATTGGAGGACATCATCCCTATGATCATTACCTATTATTTAGGGTAATAATGATGTGTTATTGGTATTCATGTTGGTCAGGGTAAGGGCAAGGATAAGCGTAAGGGTTAAGGCAAAGGTAAGGGTAAGGTGTCGGTTGTAGAAAAATTAGACAAAATAAACATATCATTTCTCGGCTACAATGTAATTTGGGATAATGTTTAGTGGTGTGCTTATTAATGCAATTCTAAGCTAAGCTAAGTTACTTTTATTTGCTGACGAAAAATATATTCAATGGTCTGCAAATCCTTCGTTTAAAAATATTTTTTAAATGAAGGTCTATTAAAAATGGTAGTTGTTGATTGAAGAGGTCTATGTGTTCTAATGCATTACTAAGTTTCCATTGTTTACAAAACGAAATTATTTTTAAATACATTTTCATTTCAGCTCGCCCTGAAAGTATTTGTAAGTAGGCGCTATTACTAAACTTTAAAAAAAATTATAATTAAAAACTGTCAGTTTACGGTAACTCCATATTAAGTTATATTCCATTATTTTACTTATCTATTTTTAGTACATTATTTTAAGACAAAACTCAAATTTTACAAAAGTTTATATTTAGAAACACGTTACGTTATATTACGTTCTTTCACTTTATATAACGTTATATTTTAGTTATATTATTTATGTTATATTTTTCAGTCCAAATGAGCGGTTATAATTGTAAGTAGAAGCAATCGTTTTCAGCTTACATTGTGCTACTGCACTTACCTAAAAGAAAAACAACAACTTGGCGTGTGCATTAAAAATATAAAAATGTTATAATCCACATCCACTGTAAAATAATCAAAGACGTATACTTAGCAAAAATCAAATATGGTAATTAGTCAAAGAATAACGTTCAACAATAAAATGGAAATGCTGAAATAATATGTGCCTACATTTTTTTAAGACAAAACTCAAATTTTACAAAAGCAATATTAGCTTAAATAAAATATTACAATTTTTTCAACCCATACTGAAATGCACAGCCAGAGGTTGACATTGTGTCGACCCACAGGCTAGAAACAAAAGTGACTGTGGGATAAGGGTTACTGTAATTACAAACTATCATTCAGTGTTGCATGGATTTGCCTTATTTACGCGAGTTTCGATCTAGTACTTTTTCCAAGCTTTTATTTAACTTGCTACCTATGTCTGTCTGTCTGCATGCCTGTCATCATAGCGAAATGCCGATGCCGAGCTAAATTTTGCTTCCTCATAGTTAATGATTTGTCATGGATCAAATCTCGCGAGAGAAATTGCGACCATTTCAAACAGACAGCTTCATTATTCGCAAGTGGGTCAATACACAAAGACAATAAAATCCGAAATCAAATTTGATTTAATTGGATGCTTAATTATTATTGTATACTTTAATTAAAATTTCCAATTTTTAGTTCTATTTCCCGCGCTATTGTATGCACATTGTTTGTGGTTATTAGCCGCGCAATTAATTTTAGCCTACTTCTATTGTATTTAAAAATTTAAAGCACGGATCACTAAATTTTCTATTATCTTTACACAAATGTAAGAATCGCCTTTCATTAAATTAACCTAAATAGTGGTGCATTATTATATGTTTAAAAAACATCATTTAATTTCTACTCTTTAGTGATTAATACTATTAAAATAGTTTTTATAAAAATGTTTGTGCACATCACTCCACTATTTTGCATTTGTTTTATGCTGATATTTTTTTTTTTATTTCAGCATGGCAGTATCCAGGTGAGTGGTAGCTAATGTTTAAAATTAAACCATTTATGTTTTTTATGTCCAAAATAGAGGAAGCAAAAATTCGTTTCTAAAACAAATATATATTCCAATCAAGCCTCTTTTAAAAAACGAGTAGTTAAAGGTTAAGTATTGCAAATACAGACTTAAAATTTGAACTTAAAACATATTTTGCTTATTAAAATATAAATTCCAGCAATGTTTACTTGAAAACTACGCTTTGGATTAATCAATTGTAAAATTGAATAAAGAAACAATAATTATGTATATCACAGGGGTCTAACATAGTTTAATAAAAACAAACCCAGAACGCTATCATTGTAGCATGGATATTTATGTATAAAGATGTTATTCCAATGCTTTCTTTTATAAAATTGGGGTTGGCGTGGTCGGTAAAGCTCATGTTTGCTAAACCGAAAAGTCTCGAGTTCGAACCCTCGAGCAGTGGAGGCTCGTTAGCTGGGGACAGCAACTCATCTAGGAGAGACAACTCCAAAATCCAACAACTGCTGCCTTGTAGTTTGTTCTTGGTTGGACAAAAGCTATGGAAGCAAATCCAAAAAAAAGCAGGCTGAAATCGGAGTCAATGGCCTCAATGGCATATAACCAGTTGGCACGTTTACTTAATAGTATTGGAAGGGATCCTTTCCAACAATAAAAATTTAAACGAAGAAGAAGAAGCAAGATTATAAAATTTAAAATATGTTTATTTGTATAGCAGTATACATTCTCAGAAAACCTATCATCAAACCCGAACAAGTTTTGTTTGTTTGCCGGTCTTCTCACTTCAAAACAATGTCTTTCCCTACTTAAATTGTAGCTTACACAAGTTTATTGCATTATGATAATAGCCTACTACACAACACTAGGTTCAACGCTTGAGGCTAGACACGCCCGTCCACACTTTTTAGGCAAAGTTTCAATTAATAAACTTAATGTTGTTGTATAACATCAAAACAACAAATAGAAGAATATGTGCAAATAAAGTAAACAAACAAAGACAGGCAATTGTTTTGTTTATCTAGAAACAAGATGGCTGCCTAGCACACGTGGTTAGTTGCAACCTATAGTGAATTATTTTAATAAACTGTACTATAATATGACTGGTCAAGCGCATCAATGAATCTATATATATATATATATATATATATATATATATATATATATATATATATATATATATATATATATATATATATATATATGTAAATGTATATGTATATATATATATATATATATATATATATATATATATATATATATATATATATATATATATATATATATATATATATATATATATATATATAATTATGTTTGTGTTTGTATCCTAGATAAATTTACTTACATATATGAGTAGTCTATTTCAATATATATATTTTTAGGAATATTATTTTGTATTGTTTGAACTGTTTGTTTTATGCTGATATGTGCTAGCTCTTTTGTGCAGATCGTAGTATATCTTTTTTAAATTTTTTAAATTATTTTTTTAATTTTCAGGATGGTCATATATTGGTGAGTAGTACCTACTGATTGAAATTGAAGTTTGTGTTTTTTAAACTGATTTATGATGTCTAAAATACAAAAACACTAAATTTCTTTTCTGAAAGTATTAATGCAACGAAAGGAAAAGAGTAGTTCTAAGTTAATTTATGAAATTAAACACTTATAATCTGAACTTAAAACATGTTTTTAATATTCAAATAAGTTCCAGTTATATTTTTTTTAATAACTACTCACTGAATTGACCAATTGTATGTTTGAACAAATAATCGATGATTTTGTATATCACTTTAGCCTAACACCATTTATTAAAAAAAAGTTTCATAGACCACTTTTCGTGTAGTATGAGTTTTTTCTGTATAATGACGATTATTATTATACATTTAAAAATATATTTGTAAAATGACTTAGTCTATCGAGAAATATGTATACGACTAGCCTATATATAATTAAAATGTACAATTTTGCTTGTATTTGTAAATGAAATAGTCAAAGTTCAACTTCATGACCATTTTTGCTACATCACGATGTTTTGTCTTACTTATATATATATATATATATATATATATATATATATATATATATATATATATATATATATCTTTATATATATTCCCAATTTCACTCCTAATATTTTACCTATTCTTACCTGTTATTGCAGATTCTTTGCGTCGATGTAAGTATTTTTGTATTTTTAAAGAAATCTACTTTAATGGTTTTTCGTTTTTAATTAATAAACAAAATTCTGATTTTAAATCTGTTTTGGGAAGCTCTAGTTATCAGTACCAACATAAATATTTTACACATTTTTAAAAAATTGAAAAAAATTGAAACCCAACGCAATAAATTCACATTTCTATTTCGTTCGTCTTATTATTATATGTGATTATTTGCTATTCGGTTTAGAACTAGTTAATTATCAGTTAGAGTTTTTATTTTTATAAGCTTTTGTTTGACTTGTTTCCTCTGTCTGTCCGTCTGTCTGTCTAGATATATGTCATCATAGATCAAAACTGCGAAGAAATATTTCGATCAATTCTAACTAATCTAGCCGTTTTAAGCTTGGCACGTGGGTCAAGTTCGACGACAATGCAATATGACATCAAATTTTACTTAATAGGATACCTAATAAAATTATGATATATTAACAATTAAAGTCTTCTGTATAAATTACGCTTTTATGGTTGGGTTAGGTTTGCTTGTTAACCCTCCTCGGACAAAGTCCGCTGACAAGAGCTTTCCAGGCGTCTCTGTCCATGGCTACTCTCTCCAATTGTCCGGGGTGTAACCAATTTTCTTGATATTTTCTTCCAGGCCACGTCTCCGGGTCTTTCTTCGTCTACCACTTTTTATTTTGTACTGTGGATTCCAGGTGAGCGCCTGTCTCGTTATGCTGGATACAGGCTTCCTGAGTGTGTGGCCAATCCATTTCCATTTTTTTTTGGAGAATGTCTTCATCATCTGGCAGTTTTGTTTGACTGTACATCATTTCTAATAGATTTAGGCCAGAGTAGTCGAAGTATCTTTCTGAGGGATGAGTTTATTAATTATTGTATTTTCTTCTTATTTGTGGTAGTTTTTTTCCATGTCTCATACCCATCGGTTTAACTGCTGTCGAGGACCCAGATTTTTATTCCAAGCGTTAAATCTCCAGAACCCCAATTCTCTTTTAGTTGGTTGAAGACTGCTCTTGCCTTGCCCGCATATATTTTTATATCTGTTTCTGTCCCGCCCTGCTTATAAAGAATACTTCTAAATTATGTGAATCACGATTTTTACGGCCTCGTCTGCCAATGATGTAGGATATAGAAAGTTAATTTTCCTTCTGTGGATGTTCAGGCCCAGTCATGTAGAAAAATTAGCAACCCTGTCGGTTTTATCCTGCATTTGCTGTTGTGTGTGAGAAAGAAGAGCCAGGTCGTCAGCAAAGTCCAGGTCATCCAGCTGGCTCCACAGTGTCCACTGTATATAGTTTCAATTTTTCTCTAATGACCAATGGCCATCTAGAGAATGTAGAATATTTACTAACTAGATCTGCATTTTATGTCAACACGAATAAAAGGATCTTTAATTCCTTAAAGTATTTATTTTACGTATTGTTCAATTTCTGCGGGCACACAAGTCAGCAAATCATTTTCCATTTTCGTTCATTTCACCTAAACCTTGCCACTTGATACATTCTTCATATCCTCTGTTGTCGCTGCCGATATTAGCATGGAAGTCGCCAATGAGTATAAGAATGTTTAATCTGCTGCAAGTCTGGATAATGGTCATTAGAATATAGAATTCATATTTGTCGTTTTCTTTGCTCTCATTGGTATGGGTATAAGCCGATATTATGTCCATGTTCATTCTTCATATTCAAGGTGGATGTTATGATCCGTTGACTTTGCTCTTCGTATTCATTGAGAGCCTTTTGTGCTTGCTTTGACAGCATGAATGCGATTCCTTGAGTATGTGGCGCATTTTTGTCCTCGTGGCCTGAAAAAAGCAGTAGCTCTCTTGTTACAAATCTTTTTTTTGTCCTGAGCCAGTCCACCTTGACTCGGTTATACCCAGGATAGCTATTTCATAGCGCCTCATTTTTATGGCTCTACTTGTGTTGCTTTTCAAGGGTCATACATTGTGTGGACATTCCAAGCTTTAATAGTGCTGGTGGACCTAGTGGAAATAATGGTGGTCGACCTGGTAGTTTTCAATACATATTTGCTTTTAAAATTGGCTTAAACAATTCTTCTTGACGAGATCCATTCTTTTCTGTAGCGAGTTATTTTATTACGATATAAGACTGCTGACCTTATGCTCAACCACCTACCTGGAGGACAGGGGTGCTACATTTTGTCTGCCCCCTAACATGCGCAGACCGTCCCTGCTTGGTTGAACCTGCCAGAAGTTTACACTACCGCTACTATAGCTCTGAGGGTTATTAGGGTAAGCAAACTGCCAATCCAGCTCTAGATCCATGTGGCAGAATGTTCTATTTGTCGCGCTATTATACACGCATTTATTCATGTTCATTTGGGTCACAAGAGTTTTTAATCATGCACAATTTTAAAGTACTGGAAAATAAAGCGGGAGTGATCTCCCCTAATCTTTTAGGCATTTGTCTAATACAACAATTAGGACGATTGTAATATCTTGTAAGCGTATAAAAGAATTTTTTTTAAATTATTTTCTGAATACCTTTTTAAAAATCATAATAAAATCGAATAGAAAAATAAAATGGTCGTAAACAAGCCATGCATAATTAAGTGAAATATTAGTAGTTTATAAATGAATTTAAGTTTTTAAAATATTAATAAAAAATCTAAAGAAATCACACTTAATTTCAGAATTCATTGTTTTTTCTGTCTTTACGTACGTGAAAATGTTCAAATAAATCGGTCTAGTAGAAGTGATATTTTATCAAGAAACAACGCAAATTATTGTTTTCGGTCTTCTAAAGTCACTCAAACTTTAACAGAACAAACTTAAACGACGCTCTATGTACTGGCTTTTGATAAAACGGAAGTAAAATGTGTACCTCTTGCTATTACTGGAAATCGGACAATAGTTAATACATGTCTATATTTTTTATATTATAATTATATAAGAAACGTTGCTCAAGTTATCGTGTTTTCATACATCACAGACATACAGACAAATTTGCAAAACTAAATTTTCCCGTTCCCAAATTATGTAAAACAGTTTTATAAAAGTAATTTGCACGATTACAATACATCCTTTATGTCCCGTATATGTTAAGGAAGCGTTAAATAGAAGAAATAAAGCTCAAAAACAATTTTTAGAACAAAGAAAAATATTTTTTACGACTGCTTGTGCGTTAATTTAGATTAGTGTTCAATACACTGAATTTTTAAATTTAGTCCTTAATAAACTGGACACAGGTCTTTCTCAACTACGAATTTTTAAATAGTTTCATCCATGGTTTTATACACTAAACAAATTTTTAGAACTAGTATTTTAAAATACGTTTGTTAAAAAGTCTTCCTTGATCGTATCTAGCTTTCCACTTGTTCCCTTAGAAATTGTAATTATCATAACATTCTATAAATTCTTCACTTCTCGGTTTGTTTTAGATGTATCCACTCTGGAAAAATCGAGTAAGTATTTAACTTTTATAAATTATAATATCATTTGTTCTGTACACATATCTAAATAACCAGCAAGGCTTTTCCGAAGTATTAATGTCCAATAGCACTATATAACAATGTTTCAATCCAGAGGCGTAGCGACCCTTTCCTGTGCCCGAGGACAAACTTTCATTTTGGCGCTCCCCCCCCCCCCCTTACTTTTAAAAAAATTTATAATGCAAAACTGCAGCTAAAATGAGCTTTCATCAACCCATTTTGGTGCCCCCAAGAGTCGGCGCCCGGGAACATATGTAACCCCCCCCCCCACCCCTCCCTCGCTGCGTCACTGTTTCAATCTATGCTAAAATATCTTACACCATTTTTAAGTAGCTCTTGTATTAGCTTGGTTTTAATGTAGAAGTAATACAATCTATGTTATACTACACTATCCCTTCATCTGCCAGTTTGGATCATTAAGTCTAAAGAGGAATCTTTTCATATAATGCCGTTATTGTTAATATGCCAAACAGAGTTTCTTCCAAGCATTTCATTGAAGGGTTGGAGGCCCCCCCCCACAAAGAAAGTCCACCACACTCCCCCCCCCCCCCGAACGAAATGAAATTTATATAGAAAATATATACCTTTTAACAGTGTACGCCCCCCCCCCCCCCGGAAGAAAGTCTACCGCCTCCCCGAAAATTTTAAGTGCCCCCCCCCCCCCGGAGAAAAAAGTCTGCAAGATACACTGATGCCAACTCAAATCTTATGTTTTATGTAGACACATAATTTTCTTTTCCAACACGGTACGTTTAACTAAAATAATTATTAAGATTCATTTTAATAAATACTTCAAGCACGGTTAATATAACTTAAAATTCATGTACAAGAAATCTTGCTTTTGTCTTGTGGTAAACGAAAGGCATATCAATAGGAAAACAACGCATGTAAGTCGTCCAAGTACCCTTTTTACACCCAAATGCAAACGCACGAATATAGCGGCTGGGAAGAAAAGTGTGAGAGAAAAGCAAAGTTGTTCACTTGTTGACAATATTGGAGAGAGAGAGAGAGAGATAGATAGATAGATAGAGAGAGAGAGAGAGAGAGAGAGAGAGAGAGAGAGAGAGAGCATACAACTACAGAATGTTCATTGTTTTTCGCATTAAAGATACAAGGCCACCGATGATTAAAATGTAAACTATCCGCGGATAAGTTACGATATTAAATGCCAAGGTCAAAGATTTTTAAAAAATGTAACTCCATATATTTGTCTTATGAATATGCAAGACATAAACTGTCTAGTATATTTCCATTGACTTCTAGAAAATATGGAACTTTAAAAAAAATAACTTTCTAAACTCAGCATATGGACAATGCAAATGGTTTATAATTTGTAAATACTCGTTTTCCAGATGAGGACAGTACACTTTGGCATTCAATATTAGGTAAATATTAACATACTTTTATAAAAAAAAAGGTTTATAATTTTTGTAGCATTATATTAACCCATTTCGATATTGGCCATGAGAGGTTTCATTTAGATGTTTTAACAATGAATCAAAATAAACCTTCTTTATATATTATTTTGTAATATTCTATAATTCGCTACTGAGCTACAAAATGGATGTACTGATCAGTACACATTTTAGCAACCGAATATGTTCTTGGTAAAAATATATATCCATTATTTTTTAAAATGGTAAACTCCTCTAAATTTAGTAAACTTCATTATCGAATGTTATTTTCCTGAAGATTCCCTTCACCACGAAGTTCAAGAGTGTCTCCCTTTTGAAACTGAAGCAAATTTATTTACACATTTTAAAACATGTCAAAAAAATCAAGATCACAAGGGATTTATTCCAATCCACGATTTTAATGTTCGACACATAAAGATAACAAGTAAGGTAGAGGAGTTGTACAACATCATTAAGATAGCCGCTGATCTTACAGTAAGGATAGTTGTAACCCACACAAGCACAGCAAGACCTAAGCATGTCGAAGGATCAGTTCAAGAATATCCGTGTTTTAATCTAAGAGGGACAAGTTATTTGAGAACAGGGACAGGAATTATAGTTGGGGTCTCAAAATACAAAAAAGAAGACGAAGAAACATGTCAATGTAAGGGGTGTAAGAAATCAGACACTCCACAAACCACCTGATGGAGTGTGGGTGTGATGACAGCCACCCACGTGGTGTTTGACGACAGCGAGGCTGAGAGTGCCACATGCAGGCTGTTCTTTGACCAGGCGGACAGTCCAGTTGTGACGTTAGATGGCTGGAGAATGTGGGACATGAGCATCAAGGGAGACACCTGCAGATTTTCTTGTGCCTCACATGACATGAAATTGTACGAGAAAGTCCAGAAAATGTATAACAGTTACCTGTATTGTCCACACAAGTTTGAAGAAGGCGTGTCTTTTATTGTATCACATCCACACGGCTGTTCTAAGCAAGTCTCCGTAGGAAAATACAAACAAAAACATATCAAGCATTTGCATCTGTATTACGACGCAACAAAATACTCTTATGAAATGATTACATGTCCAGGAAGTAGCGGGGCTTATGTGTTCACTAGTGAAAATTTGCTGGTACCTCACGTACACAGTGGATGTAGAAATGGCATCAATTACAGCGGGGAAGGATTTCAAGATAAATACTCAGACGTACTCCAGTTTAATTTCATGACCCCCCAAGATTTATAAAAATAAATAATATCTCGCAGCTTCAAAAATATTAGTACAAAGATAATTGAATTAATTTTTGAAAATGAAATTTGCAATCAATAGATGTATAAATAAAAAACACTTTCTAATAATTTATCCCATAATTTTCTTTCACTAACATATGTGATATTTCCCTCAAAATAGGTTATTCGTCAATTTTATCAAGTAATTGTACATCATGCTTGAGTGCAGGTTTTATTAGGAGTTTCACTTAATGAACCGGACTGAGCTTAAATCACCACCTCATACCATACAATACAACAATTATGTTTTCGTGTATCTTGACAGGTAGCCTACACAAAAACTGAGGTATTTTTTTACGAAAAAAATATAAAACATAAGACATAAAATGTGCTAATTAATTATTCTCCATTTACTTTTGTTGTGATTTCTTTTTATTTTTAGATGTGCAATGCACAATTTTTTAACAGACAAAAATATAACACTATTTTATTCAATAAAGGCTTAGAATTAACCTTGCATAATATATTTACTAATTACCATATTGTGTATTATATATTACTTGTAAGCCTTCTCTATTAAAAAACTATTGTGGAAATATAGATAAATAAAATGTATACGCTTCCGCAATAAATGTAAATACATCAATTTTTAAAGGGATGAAAACACGAAAATTTAAAACATTTGATAAAATGTATATTGGGGGGGGGGGGGGGTGCAGTGTTAATGTCATAACAAACTACTTTAGATTTAGCAAACTCAATAGCATTTGTTATTGAACTATGTTAGCTGTTGATTGTTTATACTATAACACGTTAGAGCGTACCTACATGAGAATACATTATTATTGTACTAAGATGGTTGGAGTGTTGCTTTCCTACCCATGTTATTACTGCACTTATTGTATTAGTTGTTTGTTGCATGTGATAGTTCATGTATGTTGAGTGTAAGCCTCGCTGGCTCTGCCAGCTTGTCAAAGGAGAGGGGAGATGTTATAACTGAGTTCAGTGTTGATGCTAGTGGGTTAACGCCCCCGCCCCCCCCCCCCTCCCGTCCCACAGCGTAACACGACATGAAGACATCCCTGCCCCACCTAGAGATGTGCAGGCTAGGGGAGGTACCAGTCGCCGGTCTCTGACCCAATTGACCTGGGATGCAAATCTGGGGAAACACGTAATGGGATACCCTATTGTATTCGAGGTTAAGCCAGGGCATAGAACCCAAGATGAGTAGTGAGGGCTAGAGAGGGATAGGACAGTTGAACGTTAGCCTTAGAAGCATGTAGTTGTGTTTTGTTTTATAAAGTGTGGTAGGACTGGCCACTAAATCTTGTTATTTCCTAGTTTAGACAAGACCACCATCTATCAAATTAAAGTTTCTGTGTTGAAATTGTGTTGATGTCTTTTCTTTAACCTCTTACTGCCGTAATCAGTACCAACCATACAGATGACATCATAACAGGGAGGGTCGGACTTTTTGTGACCATGTGTGACGTAAGGGGGAAAGAGGGTAAAAAAATGGCCAAATAAGCATTACGTCATTTGTGGTCGACCCCTATGTTGCTGTTCGGAGTGAACCAGGGTACAAGGGAAGCGACTGGTCGAGTGACAGCAGGTATGTTGTGAGCGGAAGAAAGGAGGTGTGTAGTTATAACTTCGGTAGGACAGTTACAGGTTGGAGCAAGAAGGTGAAGATCGATGTGAAGAGAAAAGCGAAATAGATGAGATTAAACTTGATTGGTATACCTAATCCTTACGAGTTTGTTGGTGTATCGTATACCTTAGTGTGCAAGACCCCTCACCCCCTCACACTCGCTATTATTTTATGATCATTGTACATTTAACATGTTTAAAGAGTAGAGATTATTTAAAACCAAACATCATTTTATCAACCTATTTTTGTAAACACACAATAACCATGAAAGGAAACATTATTTAAATAGTAATATAATTAACTTTCATAATAATTATTTACACTATTGTTTGTTATTTCCCTAACCTGAGTCACAACACATCAGAGTGGTTAGACTTAGGGACTCCCCTGGATCTGAACTCGAGACTTTTTCTTTAGCAGTCGTATATCGTATGCTATTCTTTAAAAACTTCTTCAACGTTTAGTATGTAGTTTGTGTTTTTGCATGTATAATGTCTGTTTATATCTATCTGTATTTCACTTATGCTTATTGTTACAATCGGCTTCTTATATATACACAAAACCGCTCTTGTACTGAAGCCTATTGCCACATGTAAAACAGTGTTGTTTGTCTCTTATAAGCCCACAGGGTATTTAGGTCTTTTTATATGTGTTAATACCAGGCGCTCTTGATCCTTATTAATGTCACAACTATTTATAGCCTTGAGCTAACATCCTTGTCAGGTTGTAAAATGGAAATTCCATAGATACAAATTTCGATGACGTGTGTCTCTTAAGTAATTATGTGTGTAATTGTGTGTAAAAGTGTTTGTTTGTGTATATGTTTGACGTGCATTTTTTGAGAATGTATATCACGGTGGGACTGCTTTAGTGTTTGTATATGTTAATAATGTTTAATAGCTGTATACATATTTACTTACTTTAATTTATCTTAACCAATGTCTTTCTGTATATGTGTGTTAATAAATGTGATTGCAATTATGTAAGTCTATGTGTGCAAAGAGTTGGAGTAGATAAGAAACAAGACAAATCGTTCGTGTTTCTCAAATACATATTTATTTACATACACCGATATTTTCTAAAAGCGGTTTACCGTTTTCTTAAAATGTACAGGTGAGGCCAAGCGGAACTGCTGCTTAAAGTATACTATCTGAAAAATCTTGACCTTTCTACGAGAGTAAACATTTAGCGTGAACCACAGCTCACCAGACCATGTGGGGGTGGGGGTGGTAGGGATATGCCTAGAGAGGAAGAGAGGGGGCTGCTAGGCGCGCTTAGAGCCTGGTGTTTTCTATGGTATCGAAGAAGAGAATTATATATATATAGAAGATTACGCTGTTATGAAATATATTTCGAAACAATTAACTAAGTTGTATACATTTTCCAGATTACAATTTATATTTTATTAATATGAGCGAGTGCCGTGAGCCTATTTCAAATCATGTACCGCTTTTATTTCAATGTGTTGCGTACTAAAGAATGTAGGCCAGTTTAAAAGTAAACAGTTTAAATCCTGTTAAAGGGACGTTATAACTGTGGAGTGGGCTTTTTTTTGGCTCATCCGAGGATTTGTGAATAGCTCATTGATATTTTGTCTGGAAAAAAAGTGTCTTTAAGATCTTCTATCCATACATTTAAAGTATTTTTTCTCAATCATTGATAATGTTGTTTTGATGTTTTAAACATTTTTTAAATACAATTTAATGTCTTGATCTAATGTGCCTTTAATACAACGTTTAAATAAAAAAATCTAACAAAAAATGTTTTTAATTACATTTTCTTTCCAACTGCCAGATACATAAAAATAGAAGAACTAAGATAATTATTTAAAATGAAAAATAGGTTTATGGAAATAATAACAAAAGAGTGTGCTATTCAGATGTTTGTCATTGTGAAAAACTCAAAATGTCGCACCAAACTGTATTCTTTAGAAATGTAAACATTTAAAATTGAATTTTAAAAAATAAATAGTGAATTAAAGAAATCATATATCAGAATTAATATTATTTTGTAAAAAAATGTAAGTAAATAATTTTGATAATAAATAATGAAGTATATTTTCAGTTTAATAATTTGTATTTATGGATTTTTAATAGGTAAAAAAAAGAAGAAAAAGCATAATTGAATAGGAAAAGAGTTATTAAAAAGTATAGTGACAATTTAAGCGCAATTTCCTTATGTTATCCATAACAATTTTAAATCGAGATAAATCATATAGTCAGCAATTAAATAATGCAACACAAGTAGTTTTAATAATTCAAAACAAAATAGAAAAAATATTTATTATTAACGAGATTTAAAAATATTGTTCTAAATTATGGCAGGAATAACCTATATCAACGGTAGGCCTACACGATGCTCATTTTAAACAAGTATTCGTTACCTCTCACTAGCGACTGCCTCAGCCGGTGTGCTTGGTTTGGAACTTCACCGCTTTGCTTCTTCTAGTGGTGAGACGCGATGGAATGAGGGTGGTAGAAATATTTGTATATTCTTAGTAATCTTAGGCAATAAAAATTAGAAGAAATTAATTTTTTGTGACCGAACCAAAGGATATTTTTGAAAACTTTCTTCGGCAATATTGTTCTAAATTATGGCAGGAATCGATTGGTAAATTTTTTCGAGGAAGGAATTCCGGGTATTGTCTTGGTCTATGTTCATCCTCGGAACTTGCTTAACATATTTGCTTTTGGAACTAGTCCTCGATATTGCTTCGTTGAGGAGGAGATACGACTTAAAGCTGCGGACACGCTGCGGACACACATCCATACATCCATCCATCCATCCAGAAATGACGAGTTAATAATCGCAATCCCCAAGTATGGAAATTGCGCTAAAACTATCCCCATATTTTAAACATTAAAATGTTTAAAACATTTATAATATAACTAAAAAAAATAAATGTTTAATAACAATTTAGATAGCATACCTGATGACTAGGTAATAACAGTAATAATAATAATAATAATGAATGATACAGTATAATAATATGTTTTTTTCCTCGAAATATGTAACAGTATATTTCATTTTAAAACGTAATTGTCCACCATGCGCCATGGTTAAGACTAAGAACTGCTTTTTAGTTAATAAGAATAGACAACTATTCGCTATTAAAGTATATTAATGACACTATTTCTCCTGAAATCCTTCCCCACTACGATTAACGCCATTTTTACATCCACTGTGTACGTGAGGTACAAGCAAGTGTTCACTAGTGAACACATAAGCCCCGCTACTTCCTGGACATGTACTTAAATCATAGCTGTATTTTGTTGCGTTGTATCACAGTTGTAAATGCTTAATATGCTTTTGTTTGTATTTTCCTACGGAGACTTGCTTAAAACAGCCGTGTGGATGTGACACTATAAAAGACACGCCTTCTTCAAACTTGTGTGGACAATACAGGTAACTGTTGTACATTTTCTGGACTTTCTCGTACAATTCCATGTCATGTGAGGCACAAGAAAATCTGCAGGTGTCTCCCTTGATGCTCATGTCCCACATTCTCCAGCCATCTAACGTCACAACTGGACTGTCCGCCTGGTCAAAGAACAGCCTGCATGTGGCACTCTCAGCCTCGCTGTCGTCAAACACCACGTGGGTGGCTGTCATCACACCCACACTCCACCAGGTGCTTTGAGGAGTGTCTGATTTCTTACACCCCTTACACTGACATGAGTTGCCTTCTTCATCTTGATATTTAGAAACACCAACTATCATCCCTGTCCCAGTTCTCAAGATATTTTTGTGACGCAAACCGGCGCACGGGTAGGGAATATTTGTATTTCTAATAACGTCTGGCCTCTCGGGACTAGTGTACTTTACAGCTACCTTCACTGAGAGATCGGCAACAAGTTTTATCATCGCGTACATCTCTTTAATGTTGTCTGTTACGGTAACTTGTTCGGGGTAAAAATCTTCAATAGGGATAAATCCTGTGTGGTTGGGGTTTTTGCCACACGATTTCCAGAATGTGGGTAAATTGCCTCAGTCTCACCAGGTCCACATTCCACCACCTCGTGCTGCACTATATTGAAAAATTAAATATTATTAATAATATATATATATATATATATATATATATATATATATATATATATATATATAGAGAGAGAGAGAGAGAGAGAGAGATGTACATATATATATATATATATATATATATATATATATACGTATATATATATATATATATATATATATATATATATATATATATATATATATATATATACATACCTTTTTTTAAATGACGTACTTCAATTATAACAAGTTCAATTAAAATCGCTTGTCAAAATAATTACTAAAAGGTTGATATTTTATTTTGTGATGGTATTTTTCTTTGAAATGGCCTAATGCCTATGATGCAGTTTTTTATTTGTTTTTGTTTGTTCTATAATGTAAATACTTTTAAATTGTTTTTCTTCTCCAAGTAAACTGTTACTAAATATATGTAAAAAATGAATGTTTTTTACTGTGCTTATTTAATCAGCAATCGTAGTATATAATATTTGTTTTTCGGAAAGACGAAATGATTAAGGCATACATTTATGATGTGTTTTGAGAAGAACATTGCCATTGAGGCATGTTTTTTTTTGTTTATGGCTTAAAAGCGAAACAAAAGTGCCTAACAAACAAAAAGCTAAATACATACCATAATTATCATCTGTGTCACTTTCTGGAAATAGAAAAGAAAGAGAAAAATTAATAAAGATCTACTAAACAAAATTTTATTTTACACTTATTTTTAAACTTAGGGTTTATTATTAAAAACATTACAAATGTAATATTAAGTAATTGTACAAATATAAAAATGATACAAAATAATAATCGTATTCAATAGATTCGTGTCTAAAAAATATATAAAAGATCGGGCCTACCATAATCATCATCTGAATCACTATCTGTAAAAGAAAGGAAAGAAATAGTGTTGTTCTATTATCAATATTTAACAAACATATTTTTTTATCTTTACATTAAAATATTATATATAAATGTTTATATATAAATGTTTATATATATATATATATATATATATATATATATATATATATATATATATATATATATATATATATATATATATATATATATATATA